AAACAATGTAATTTCAAGCTAGTATATTTCTCTTTCATCTTTGTTCCCTAATCTCTGGTATTATGAACAATAGATTTCAGATTGCTTTCATGTTTTATTTAATTAATTTTTAAGATTTTTAAAAATTTATTTGAGAGTAGAGTGAGCAAGGGAGAACAGGACGGCAGGAAGGGCCAGAGGGAGAGGGAGAAGCACACTCCCCACTGAGCAGGGAGCCTGATGCGGGATGCGATCCCAGGACCTCCGTATGTATGTATGTATTTATATTTATATTTATTTAATTTTAAAGATTTTGAGAGCACGAGTCAGAAAGAGAGAACACGGTGGGGGAGGGGCAGACGGAGAAGCAGACTCCCCGCTGAGCAGGGAGTCCAACGGAGGGCTGGATCCCAGGACCCCAGGATCCCAGGATCATGACCTGCACCAAAGGCACATGGTTAACCAACTGAGCCACCCAGGTGCCCCAGTTACAGATCCTTTTACTGCAGTTTGGTTTATTAGTTAGAAATGCTATGATTCAGGAAATTGGTATCAGTTTTATGATTTTTCTGAATTACTTCATAACTTCTAATCACATAAAAAGAGTCTAGTCTAAGCTTGTCCAAGCTACTTTAAATTATGATAATAATACAGAACCGATTTTAGGTTGGCAGTAATATTTACTGGTTAAAAAGTAGTGGTAGGCCTTTAACTTGGCCATATTATAGATCTTTTTCTTTTTAGCTGCCACATTTTTATGAGTAAAACTACAAAAGCAGAGAAAAGTTCATTTTCTGGAAATTGGTTGATGAGGGTAATTTAGATAGAATTGCATAATGTTGGCATTAAGTTTTTTGTTCAACAGATACTGACTGGAAAATTTTCTTCATAGTTTATGAAAAATCTCAGATACATAAAAGTGGAAAGAATAAAATAAATGAATACTTACCTATCTTCCCACCGTGTAGACTCAATAAATATTTTGCTATATTTGCTTTATCATATATATTTTTAGTTGAGCCTTTTCCAAGTAAGTTGCAAATATCATATTTCTGCGTAAATACTTCCAACATACATCTTCAAAGAGTCAGGACTTTTCCTATGTAAGCCCAGTACACTATCACACTAGAGGATATTAACAGTAATTCCACTGGTATCATGTAATTTTTCCATAGAGGAAATATTCAAGTGATGAGATTAATTTATCCATTTTCAGTATAAGTAAAGCATATACTTTTACGCTAAACTTTTTTTTTTTAAAGATTTTATTTATTTATTTGAGAGAGAATGAGAGATGGCATGAGAGGGAAGAGGGTCAGAGGGAGAAGCAGACTCCCTGCTGAGCAGGGAGCCCGATGTGGGACTCGATCCCGGGACTCCAGGATCATGACCTGAGCCGAAGGCAGTCGCTCAACCAACTGAGCCACCCAGGCGCCCTTACTCTAAACTCTTATCTAAACAGTATTAGAAAGGCAAGGTTATGCTGAAAAGATTGCTTTAAAACTCATGTTATCCTAGTAGGGAAAATATTTTTCATACATTCTGGTAATTTATATAGTACATGTGCATTCTGGTCATTTATAAACTAAGCTTTTAGAGTTTAACTGTTAATAGCTGCCCATTTTGTTTAAAGATTTTATTTATTAGATCATGTGCACCTGCTCGGGCAGGCATGCCTGGGGGTGGGGTGGGGAGAGGGGGAGAGAATTTCAAGCAGACTCCCTGCTGAGCATTGAGCCTGAGAGCCCTCTGGGGCTTGATCTCAGAACCCTGAGATCATGACCTGAGCTGAAATCAAAGAGTTGGATGCTTAACCGACTGAGCCACCCCAGTGCCCCAATAGCTTCCCCTTAAAAATAAAAAGGGCAATTTATGTAGATTGTATTTGAAGTGGACCCATATTCATTGAGTTGTTTTTTTTTTTTTTTTAAAGCAAAGTGGAGGCTAGATTAGCTTTTGTTGTATATGTATAAATTTTGCACAAACTGTGAAGGGTAGGGTGCATTTAGTAAAATTTCATTTGTGTGAAACTTTGGAATAGATTCTTCAGATTCACAGAGGTGAGCAGAAGAAACTCTCTTGATTTGAATCCACATTAAAATCTTTTGGAAAGAGATTAACCCATTTTTCTGCCCTCAGAAAATGTGGAATGGTGAGTATAATTGGACCCTTAGGATTAAAGACCAGAGACAGTGATGCAGTAAGCCTAACCCAAAAATAGTAGTACACAGAGGGCATGGTGCCCGTGAAGTGAGATTGTGTACTGAGGGCTTAGCACAAGGTCTACACATAAGCACTCAAATGCTAACTCAAGAAAAAAGAAAATAATGTGGAATACATATGGATTTAGAACTATAGACACCAGGACATTTTCATGGTTGAGTTTTATTTATTTATTTTTGATGTGTTCTAGTTATTTGCTCATTTAAAAATATTTTTTAAATGATGAAATAATATTGAGCACCACAACCAATATGATGTGGAAATAAGATGAGGATGATAGAAGAGGATGCATTATTCACTTTTGTCAGATCATAACATTTTGCCATATCTGAAGAGATAAGACCTGTAGTTACATTGATGCCCCCTGTGTAGTCCTCTCTGATTCCACTCCCTCCCTCTCTTCATGAAATAATAGTAGCCACTTTCTGGGATTCTCTTTCTGGTCTTTTTTTTTTTTTTTAACTTTATGTATATGTGTGTATCCATAAGTAACATGTATCATTGTTTTGCATGTTTAAATACATGGTATACTACACTTTAGGTCAGTATTACTTCTGAGATTTATCGATACTGACAGAAGTAGCTCTACTTCATTTATACAAGTTACATGCTGTACCATATTTTACTTACTCATCTTGTTAATGTACATTTAGGTTACTTCCAGTTTTTCACCATTATATATAGTACCATAAAGAACATTTATGTCATTTTGAGCACATGTGTGTTTCTGTAGGGCAGTGTTTTTCAGGCTTCTTTGTTCATTAGACACCATAAGAAATGTATTTTACATTGAGACCCAGCGCACACACACGTGTGTGTGTATGCGTGCATAATGGAAACTATAGTTTCATAAAAATAAAATAATTAGCTGAAAAAATTAGCCATAAAATGTGAGCTAAAATGTGAGCATAAAATACCTCATCCTTGAGGTATATATGTATCCTCTCATTTTAAAAAAAGTGCTAATTGAGGCCCACATTTGACAAATAATGACCTAATGTGGATACCCTAGAGCAGAATTGCTAGTCTTAATGGTGCACATCTTCAGCTTTGCTAGAGATAAAAAAATTACTCTTTAAAGTGGTTATACCAAACAACTTGGGTTTTGTTGAGACCTCCTGTTTGTTCATATCTACACCAACACTTATTTGTCTAGCTTTCTAATAATTTGCTAATCTGATGGATGTGAAATGGTACCCCAAGGTTTTTTCATTCTGTTTTCTAATCCTATTTTGAGTGCCTTTTCTCTGTCAGACCCTAGCAAAGGAGGGAAGTTGCTACCAAGAAAAGTAAGACATGGCTCATGTATTCTAGGACAGAGAGGTGAACTTCGTCAGCCTATGAGTGGCAGAGGGACACAGAAGAGGGAGTAATGTGCAGCCCACTTGGAAACGTGGCTCTTGTGAGAGATCAAAGTTGACCTTGGTCCTGAAAGATGAGTAGGCATTTTCAGACAGCACACAAAGTTGAAGGACATTCCAGGTGGAGAGGAGGGAACTAGGCAAAGGCATAGAGCTGTAAAACCACATCATTCAAAGAACTTACTGAGTATTACTGAATGTATCGGAGTCCCTGGATTGGGAAGGCCGGGGGAGAAGCAGACGAGAGTCTGCAGATGTGTGGGCAGGCTGAGGGAAGTTTGTTCTGCATGCACTGAGAGTCATTGGTGAAGGTTTTAAGCAGGGTATTAACAGGAATTTTTTTTTTTTAGTCTAGAAATGGATTTTGGTATTTTAAAGATTATGTTCAGTCAAGTTTTTTAATTTCAGTTTCAAATTCATTGGTTTGTCTCTTATTTATTATTGCCCTTTTGAAACAAGTAGATAATAGAAATTGCTGTTTTTCTTTTGAACTGGAGTTGGTCATTTGTTTTCCAAAGCAGAAATAATTGTAGCCTAGCATGTGATGCATTTGCTCTCCTCTGTAATCCTTGATTTGAGGTGGGACAGCAGATGGTCTTCTTGGTATTTTCTATCATCAAATTGAGATAGGTGTGTGTAGGTTTGGTAATTTTTTTTTTTAAAGATTTTATTTAATTTATTTGACACAGAGCGAGAGAGAGAGAGGGAGAGAGCACAAGCAGGGGGAGCGGCAGGCAGAGGGAGAAGCACGCTTCCTGCATGAGCAGGGAGCCCGATGTGGGGCTTGATCCCAGGACCCTGGGATCATGACCTGAGCTGAAGGCAGTGGTCTAACCAACTGAGCCACCCAGGCGCCCCGGTTTGGTAATTTTTAAAAGAAATTTATTCATATGAGACACAGAGATAGAGAGCGTGAGTAGGCATCGAGGCAGAGGGAGAGGGAGAAGCAGGCTTCCCGCTGAGCCAGGAGCCCGATGTGGGGCTCCATCCCAGGACCCTGGGATCACGACCTGAGCTGAAGGCAGACGCTTAACCATCTGAGCCACCCAGGTGCTCTAGGTTTGGTAATTTTAAGAATTTCGTTTTTTGGACATCTTTCATGAGGGTATTTTTGATCTTTGCATCTCTTGGTACATCATAGCAAATATGAATATAGTTGTAAGAAATTCCTGTAGAAAGCTCGAGTGCCTGTTGTTTATCAACCGTGTGTGTGTGTATGGGTGATATGAGTCGTCTCTTTGGAGTCCTTGCCGCTTTTGGCATGCCTGAGCTGCCAGTCCTTTCTTTCTTTTTTAAAGTAATCTCTGGGGCGCCTGGGTGGCTCAGATGGTTAAGCGTCTGCCTTCGGCTCAGGTCATGATCCCAGAGTCCTGGGATCGAGTCCCGCATCGGGCTCCCTGCTCCTTGGGAGCCTGCTTCTCCCTCTGCCTCTCTCTCGCTCTCTCTCTCTCTGTGTCTCTCATGAATAAATAAATAAAATCTTTAAAAAAAAAATAAAGTAATCTCTGTGCCCAATGTGGGGCTTGAACTCACCACCCTGAGATCAAGGGTTGCATGGTCTACCAACTGAGCCAGCCAGGCGTACTTCTGCTAGTCCTTTTTTTTTTTCTTTTAAGAGAATACTTTGTTTCTGTTACCAGACCCATGTAGATAAGACCTTACATATTTAATACAGTGCATTACCCCTGTACAAACGGAAAAAATTATGTTTAACATTTCTAGACCAATAAGGCTGTTAATTTCTGTACAATGCCAACCCAACACAGTACAACTGGGATACTTTTTCCAAAGTTGACAGCACAGCTAAAGTTTCCAAAAATTCAAATTATTCTCATATATATGTATATGTGTGTGTGTATATATATATAAATTTATTTATATAAAAAGACCAATAGCAGTATGTTATGCATCAGTAGCAGCAACAGCTTTTCCAGGTTCTGCAGTCATCTGAACAAAATATTATAGAGTGCCAGTCCTTTTTAATAGGAGCATTTATCTTGCTTTAAGGCATGAAAGTTGAGGCCTGCCAGCACCTAACGTAAGAGAAGCTTTTTATTTTATTTTTTTAAGATTTTATTTATTAGAGAGAGACAGCCAGAGAGGGAACACAAGCAGGGGGAGCGGGAGAGGGAGAAGCAGGCTTCCTGCGGAACAGGGAGCCCGGTGGCGGGGCTCGATCCCAGGACCCCGGGATCATGACCTGAGCCAAAACCAGATGCTTAACTGACTGAGCCACCCAAGCGCCCAATGTTATTTTTAATTTAGGAGAATCATATGCAGGTAGATTTTAAGAACTCTAGATTCTAAACCTTACCATTCAAAGTTGTAGTTGTCTTTCCTAGTTACTTGATGCTTTTAAAAATACCCACATCCCGGGACGGCTGGGTGGCTCAGTGACAGAGCGCGCGCACGAGCAGGGGGAGCAGCAGGCAGAGGGAGAAGTAGACCTCCTGCTGAGCAGGGACCACCCCCCCCACCACCACCCCCCGTCAACTGGGGGCTCGATCCCAGGACTCTGGGATCATGACCTGAGCCAAAGGCAGATGCTTAACCGACTGAGCCACCCAGGTGTCCCCTAAATAAAGAAATCTTAAAAAAAAAAAAACCCACGTCCCTCCATGATAATCTCTAAAAGGCTTTTCATTAGTTTAGGACTTAATCCAGGGAGAACACTTTTTGAGAACACCATGCCTGGAATTAAGAGAATTGGACAAATTTATATTTCCCAATATTCCTGCCTGTGGCCTTTCCTCTCAGAATTCTTCCTCCTCCCCAGTGTTGGTTCTCTCAGCCTTGTCTTCTGTCAGCCACCCAGCCTCCAACACACATACAGTTCAGCAGTGGGGGAAGGAATTAGGGCTATGAAGGGTCTGTCCTCAGGGTAGGGGTTGGAACTGTTGTATTTACTTCCTGCTTTTAACAAATGTAATACATGTTAACAACTTGGCAGCAGAAGTGGGCTGGATCAGGTGGATACAAGGTGACCATTCTAAAATAAACAAAGTGAAACAGCATAATCTTGAATTTGTGGGCAATGTGTGGGACTGAGCAAATGAGACTTGTGCTGGTGGTTTGGCCATTAGCTGTGAGCGTGCTAGCAGTGTACTAGACAAGTGGACAGGATGTTCTCTCTGTGCACTGTATAACCTTGAAGCCTTGCGTGTACTTCATTTCCCCAGGAATGAAAGCTGAAACAGAAAAGCTCCATTCCTTCCCCTTAGCTTGCAAAACCAAAGTAAGGCTTGCAAATCCAAAGTAAGGCTTGCAAATCTGAACCTGGACTGTTGCATGGTGCTGGAGAGGAGAGGATGGTTCTTGTCCTGAATTTGATTTTCGGTGGGGCTTGCTTTCTTTTTTTAGAAAAAAAAAAAAAATTCTGGGGGTGCCTGGGTGGCTCAGTTGTTGAGCGTCTGTCTGCCTTCGGCTCAGGTGGTGATCTCAGGGTCCTGGGATCGAGCCCCACATCGGGCTTCCTGCTCGGCGGGAAGCCTGCTTCTCCCTCTCCCACTCCCCTGCTTATGTTCCTCTCTTGATGTGTCTCTCTGTCAAATAAATAAATCTTAAAAAATTGTTAGAACTTCAGAGCATAGATGGTTTTTAAAAAGCGAGAAGCACAGGGCGCCTGGGTGGCTCAGTTGGTTAAGCGACTGCCTTCGGCTCAGGTCATGATCCTGGAGTCCCAGGATCGAGTCCCACATCGGGCTCCCTGCTCAGCAGGGAGTCTGCTTCTCCCTCTGACCCTCTTCCCTCTCGTGCTCTCTATCTCTCATTCTCTCTCTCTCAAATAAATAAATAAAATCTTTAAAAAAAATAAAAATAAAAATAAAAAGCGAGAAGCACAGAACATTAATCACTTGTGATTCTGTAGCAAATGACTGAGAAATTCAAAGCAAATCTGTTACACAGGTCTATATAAGCTAAGCATGTTGGTTTTTGTGGTAGGTAAAGCTAGTTTTTCTTATATCCCCCTTGAACTGGGTATGTTTAATGGCAGAGAACTTCCATGTTAAGCCAGTTATAGTGCCCGTTAAAGTTTGTTTAGAGTCCTGGACTAAATAAATGTGATTATCTGCCTGTAAAAAAAGAAAAAAAGATGAAGTCATTTGAAGAAAAATTAACAGGTGCAGGAATACAAACTGAAAACATGCATCAGGAAACCTTCTGGGAGTCAGAGGGTTTTAGGAATTTCTTCTGTCATGACATTAATAGTTGAACTTGGTGTGAAAGGCATATTTTACCTGGATGAACTTAGGAGGCTGGCAAAAGACAAGAATATTTTTATTATAGATTGTCTTTGCATTGCCTTTGATCTATTTCTAAATCCAGAACTAATGATTGGAAGAAAACTCTGGAACGCAATATTTTTATGGCTTTGGAGGTGGTAGGTGAATTTGTGGGCATCATGTGGGACTGAGCAAATGAGGCTCAAAGGTGACTGTATGTTGGGGGTTGGGGAGTTCTTTTGAAAGACAAGCAGACTGGGGTTTGGGTCACTTAGCCTGTTGGCTTGGGCTTTGGCCACAGGTGCAGGCAGGCTGCTTTACAAAGAGTTAAAGTTCTGCTTCTCAGCAGATGCCTTTTCAGTGTTTCTCCCGGTGCTCTGAAAACCATATGTGGGGCAGAATAGTCTTGTTCTGTTTGGAGGTTAAGGGCATTGCCTGCCTGAAAACACCAGTAGTAGTATGTAATATTTATTTTAAAGTTAGATGAAGAAAATTTCCCACCATTTAACAAAATAGAGCCAAGCCACCTTTGTTTTGTTTTGTTTTGTTTTTGGAAATGTGTTTCTACCGCTCCTTTAAAGCTATAAAAGTTAAACTCTTTCATAGCCTCAGGGAAAGATGCTGCTTCCCCTAAAAATTAGTTCTAGGAGGGTTGGAAGTTGAGTTGTCAGTGGTCTATAACTTAAACTGATAAAAAGCCTCTTTGAGTGCTTACTGTGTGTGCCAAGCACTGTGCTTTTAGTACTTAAGATACCTTCTCAATCCTCAAAATATCCCCCAGAGGTAGACCCCGTTGTCATTTTTCCTGTTTTATAGACGAGAAACCTGAGGCTTAGGCCCCGGTCTCATGCCAAGTAAGTTGCAGGGCTGGGTGATAAACTTGGGCTTTTTGACTCTGAACCCACTAAAGTACACAATAGTACTGATACTTTGCCAGACCATGTGGAAAGGAGGGTGGTCTCATTTCCCCAAGGGAGAGGTCTCCCAGAAGATAAGTTACTGCCTTAGGCTGGTGTTAAAAGCAGAATTCAAACCTGGGTCAGGTTTGAAGTGAAAGCCTGTGTTCTTACTGAGTGAGTGTATTGTATTACCTCTTAGAGTCCATTACTCTAATATCTGATTTACTAAGATCTTTTTATTTCTGGTGCTGGCTGCTCTCAGTTTATAGATAGGGTTGTTTAAAAAGTTCATTTGTGAGGTAGTGGCTTGGAAACCAGAATACACTGTCCGCTGGCAACGGGTGCTTGTACCTGGTGGTGCTTCTGGGGCCAGAGCCCACTGGTACATGATGCTTCCCCTTCTTGTGCCTGTGATAGCAAAGCCAGTTCTAAGGACCTACTCTTGAGTTCTGAGGAGCAAGAGAAGCAGATATGTGTTCCTAGTTGTTTCCAGATTCCATGTGTCTTTGCGGATGTTCTTTCCCTTGGTGCAAGTAACAACCAATAAAGTATGGGGTTGAGGGTGAGCACAAAGCCTCTGAGGTCAGATTTGGTTCTGACTGTGGCTGGACCAGCTATCGGTTCTCCCATTTACTCTCTACCAGATGATGTGAGATAAAGCTCTTAACTTCTCGAAGGCTCTTTCCTCATCTGTACAATGTGTGGGTGCCCTCTTTGTAGGGCTTAAATAAGACAAATGGGTATTAGGTGCTCAGCATAGTTATCTGGATGTGGCAGGTGTTCAAGAAATGATGGCAGTGATTTAAAGTGCTTTATGGTCCATCTCTTCTCCAAGTCTTTGTAGAGGTGAATGCTTGTTGGAGTAGACTGTGGTGTAACATTCTGAATCGGATTTAAGGTTAAGATTGGGATTCCCTTTATTTTGTAGTCACATGTGAATCAGTAAATTGCCTTGTAATTTCAATAGTGTGTCTTCAAAGTATATGTTGTAAAATTTTATATACCTGAAAACCTTGACTTAAATTGGAAATACAGTTGGTTGTATTGCACAACACTTTTAAAGAGTTGAACCTAAATTTCGATGAATGACTTTGATATGAATAGTCTTCATGAGCCTTCTAAGTTCTCGCTGCATTTATTTATTGTTTGTTTTTAAAATATTTATTTGAGAGAGCGTGCGCACATGAGTGGAGGGAAGAGGCGGAAAGAGAGAGAGAGAGAGGGAGAAGCAGGCTCCCCCGCGGAGCAGGGAGCCCAATGCAGGGCTCCATCCCAGGACCCTGGGATCATGACCTGAGCTGAAGGCAGACGCTTAACGACTGAGCCACCCAGGTGCCCCTTGCTGCATTTAAATATCATGTACTTTTTGTTTCTCAAATGAAGAAACTGAGGTAGGAAATGGGGATGGACTTTGCCCAAGGGTTATTGATTAAAGGAGGGGTGGGCCAAAAATACTGTATAAAGGGCCAAATAGTGAATATTTTAGGCTTTGTGGCCATTACGGTCTTTTTTGCGACTACTCAACTCGGCTGTTGCAGCATAGAGGCAGCTTTCAATAATCTGTAAATGGATGGGCTTGGCATGGTACAGTAAAACTTGATTTACAAAAACCCACAGTGCCATAATTGGTGGACCCATGGACTAAAGAAACATTTCGCTGGAAAGCTTTACCTTGGTCCCACATCTCTCTCTGTTCCTCATGAGGATCACCCAAGACTGACCTCTGGGATCCTTTCCTGAGACACTCAATCCCTCCTGTGCATCCCTGTCACAGTCTTGAATCAGCAAAACGTCTGAATGCAGTGTCCCATCTGTATGTTGATGTAGATTTATTAAAGGTTGGTTTTCCCACAGGCTTCATCCTCAGTCTTCTTTTCAGGTAACATGATTTACCGTAAAGTGATTCAGATGTTTACATCTTCAGTTGAGTTGTTTCCCAAACTCTAGATTGGTGTAGCTTCCTGTCTTTCAAACTTCACTCCAGAAATATCCCACCTGATCCCTAAAACTTTAACATGTCTGATGTTGATTTCTATATTATATCCTCCAAAGTCCGACTGTGGTGGGGGTGTGTGTGTGTGGCGCACGTGCACTCACCCGTTACCAGGTGGGAAACCTGAATGATCCCTTAACTCCTCCCTCATCCTTTTTATTCTCCCTCCTTGAGATCTTTACTCTCCCCCCTTCTCCACCCCTAGCACTACTGCTTTATTCAGGCCCTTGTGATCTACTGGACTGTTGCAAATCATCTCACAGCTTCAGGGCTCCCTGGGGCTAGTCTCTGTCTCCTTCCAGCCTACCTTTCATTTTGCTGCTAGACTGATCCTGTTTTTAGAATACATCTCATCATGCCACCTCCTGCTTAAAACCCCTTAGTTGCTCTTCAGTGCCTGTAGTTTAAAGCCCAACCTGGGTATAGACGGTGGTCCTTTTCATAGAGAGGGGAGGGGTAGTGCCTCCGATGGTGAAGGTCCAAGATACGGAGCTGCACCCACCCTGCAGGTGACCAGCCTTCTCAGAGGACAGTGACTGACTGTTTTGCATGGCCCCCTTTCTTCTTCTGGTAACTTGCCTTTATTCTTTAGTAGTCACCTCAAGCTTTGCATTTTCCTTAAGAGTCTTCCTGGAACTCCCACGCTTATCTCCATATCTGCCACAGGTGCTTTTCCTCTCTTGTGTGTGCTCCAGTAGCATTCTTAGTTTCCCCCATGAGCAGTTACACTTTATAATCAGCTGTGTCTTTGTGGCTTCAGCTCCTTCCCACCCCCCCCCTTGTCAGGCTGCTCCTTGGAGGGTAGATCCTGTGTCTTTTATACCTTTGTCCTCAGCTCTTAGAACTGTACGTTGTACATGAGCTTGGACATTTTGAAGATTTTATTAATTTATTTGACAGAGACACAGAGAGGGAACACAAAGCAGGGGGAGTGGGAGAGGGAGAAGCAGACTTCCTGATGAGCAGGGAGCCCAATGTGGGGCTCGATCCCAGGACCCTGAGGTCAAAACCTGAGCTGAAGACAGACGCTTAACAACTGAGCCACCCAGGTGCCCCTGAGCTTGGACATTTTGAAGATGGTAAATTAGTAAAGAGATAGGGCCACAGGTATATTTTTCTTTTCCTTTTTGGGGGGTTCTACTTTCTACTCTTCCAGGGGAATTAAAAGCCTAAGGAAAGTGGCAAAAGGAAAAGATCCTTGGGCCAGGGTCTGTGGTGCAAAACGTGCTCAGTGGACAGGCCTGGGGCTTGGAACTGATCCTTGTATGCTCTTCATGGCCTGGCAGCTGACTCCCTAAAGCTGCAGCTCTTCATTTGGAATGTTGGTCGGAACTCATGGGATGCTTCGTCAAAGTGTACATGTCTGATGAATACCTACCGCCCTCCCCACACCCCCAGTTCTCTGTGGGGCAGGGGATGTTAATACCCTGGTGATTCTTACATATTTTTTCTCACATTAACAGTCACTTCTTTCCTGCCCCATCCCCAACATTTTCTTCCTGCTCCTTATATTTCAGAATTCTTCATGATAATTCTTACGTCACCTTATTTCCCTTCTTCAGAGATAGGAGCTTTAGGTGCCGTGAAGTTCACATGATGAAGATGTTGGCATCTCAGTTTAGAACTCTGAATGCAGGGACGCCTGGGTGGCTCAGCCAGTTGGGCCTCTGCCTTCTGCTCAGGTCATGATCTCAGGGTCCTTGGATTGAGCCCCACATCAGGCTTCCTGCTGAGTAGGGAGCCTGCTTCTCCCTCTTCCTCTGCTGCTCCCCTTGCTTGTGCTCCCTCGCTCGCTCTCAAATAAGTAAAATCTTAAAAAAAAAACCCTGAATGCATTTGCATTTTCTAGTAGAAACTTGGTATAGGTGGGGATTAGCGTCCAAAGTAAAATAGTATACTTCAGATACAGGTGAGTTAAATTGGCTTTTATGCATGAGGAATTAAACTACTTTTGAAACAAAACTTAAGTCTGATAACTGAGTAAGGACTCACGGAATCAGACATGCTGCAGTGATCAGCACACTGTACCTCTTGCTGTACCCGCCTCCTATGCCCTGATTTCATACCTTTGCAGATAGATGCCAAAGAGCTCTAAAAGGCAGCCTTTCTTGGGAGGAACCCCAGGTTGGCTCCTGGAAGGCAGGGTGGAAAATAGGAAGGAGGTGCATGTTTGTATTTCTCTGTAGTTAAGTCACAAAGGTTCCAACAGTTATTTGCTGTCCTATTTAGAAGTATACTTGGCTGGTTTTGAGATTGAGCCTGTGCGGGCAGATAGCTGGAGCCTCTCTCTAAAGAAGAAACCTCTTTATTCTTAACTGATTGCTTAGTAATCTACATAACAAATGAGCTATTTTGCTTCAGAGATGTGAAATAGGCATCTATAAGTGAATAGTTTTTGAAGTTGTTAAGACAAAAGTTCATCTTTTCACAGTAGGGTTTCTCTAGAACATGCTCTTCACTCTATTGAAATGCAACTAGTTTAAATGAGGAAAGCATATTCCAATAATAGGCCCATGCAATTAGTCTTTCGTATAATGGAGTGAATGCTGGAATTTTTTGTGCATTATCATCATCAATTGGTGTTAGTCGCAGGGGAACCACATAATAGCTAGGAAACCTTGATTGAGAGACGCAAACAAAAGTTTCTGTCTTAATTCATAGGCATGCTTTGGTTCTTCAAACTAATAAAATGTTAGGCTCTTAAGCTAATACTTTTTTGGTAAACATCTGCTGAGGATAAAATTAAGAAATGGTGCTTTAGAACTATGTCATTATTTCGAATTAGAAGAAAATGTTGAGGTACTCTGCATTTAGTGCCATATTCATTCTAGACCTTGTATAGAAATGACACGGTGTGCTGGTGAATGTTGAACAACTGCCCTGGGGGAATTAAGCCTTGATTTGTAGCATTTGCTGATTTCTGAAGTGTAAATACTCCACCACGGCTGATGTGATGTCACTGAACTTGAAGTTGGGAAGAATGTACAGAGTCAGCTGGCTTCAGCACACTGCTGAATTAACCTCAACTATCAAATACTCAGAATTTTATAGCCTATATGTTTTTTACAGCCTGTATTTTTTAATACTTAATCTTATCCCTGTCTTTACCTTTGTTCGTTTGTTCTTTCTTTCTTTCTTTAAGATTTTATTTATTTATTTGAGAGAGAGAGAATGAGAGATAGCACGAGAGGGAAGAGGGTCAGAGGGAGAAGCAGACTCCCTGCTGAGCAGGGAGCCTGACGCGGGCCTCGATCCCGGGCCTCAATCCCGGGACTCCAGGATCATGACCTGAGCCGAAGGCAGTCGCCCAACCAACCGAGCCACCCAGGCGCCCTCTTCTTTGTTTTTTTAAATTGGCCTTACTGAGGGGCACCTGGGTGGCTCAGTTGTTTGGCGTCTGCCTTCGGCTCAGGTCATGATCCCAGGGTCCTGGGATCGAGCCCCTCGTCGGGCTCCCTGCTCAGCGGGAAGCCTGCTTCCCCCTCTGCTTCTCCCTCTCTACCTGCTTGTGTTCCCTCTCTCGCTGTGTCTCTCTCTGTCGAATAAATAAATAAAATCTTTTATAAAAAAGTAAATAAAATAAATCGGCCTTACTGATGTATGATTTATGTGCAGTAAAATTCAGCAATTTCAAGTGTACAGTTTGATGAGTTTTGACATATGTGTACCCCCACAATCATTACCTCTTCTGCACACTGTTGCCAGATTAATCTTTCCAAAATCTTGCTTTTCCAGAATCTTCCACCACCCATCTGTGTATAAAACCATCATTGGCTGTCTACTGTCCATAAGATAAAGTACAAAACTTTGTGGCCTGGCTCTCTGTGGTCTAATACAGCCTGCTTCTCTGGCCTTAATTGACTATTGCCTGGCTACATGAATCTCTTATTCCAAAAACACTGATCAGCTGGGTCCTGCATCTGTGCCTTTGCTCATATCTCTGTCCTGCTTGCAGTAGTCCTGTTCCCTCAGATTGCTGCTTATCTTGACTGTCTTGCCTTTCTTTAAAAGTCTGGTTCCCACCCCATTTTCTTATGCAATCCAGTCTTTAGTAATGACTCACTCATTTGACCTATCTTACTGCTATTTTTATTTGCTTATTTATTTAAGACAGAGCAAGCATGCACATGAGCAGGGGGAAGGGGCAGAAGCAGGCTCCCCGCTGAGCAGGGAGCATGTCTGGATCCCAGGACCCTGAGATCATGACCTGAGCCAAAGGCAGCTTCTTAACCCACTGAGCCACCTAGGCACCTCCATATCCTACCACTATTTGGCACCTCACTTTGCAACTTGTATTGAAATCTCAGGTGTTTTGTGGAGTAGTTTGGTCTTTTCCAGCAAAACTGTCAGCTATATGGTAGGTTAGGAAATGTGTCACAGTTCAGTTTTCAGCCCTTGGCATTGCTATAAATAAATAAATAGTTCTTGATGACAAAGTTTTCAACTCAGTAAGTCCAAACCCAGTGACACTGTTGGGGAGATACTACTGCGCCATATCCTAGACCTCTTAGAGGATGAAGGTTTGGCTTGTTCTAGAATATAAGTGTGTAGTTATGTCTCTCAAAACCCATGTTAGTCCTTAAAATACACATTGGAACTTTTATCTCTGTCTTGGAAATTCATCCAGAGGTGGTTGGACTTGGAACTCTTGGCAAGATTTAAACATTTTAAAAGTAGGTCCCAAAAAAACATTCTTTGTTCCTTTCAACAAACTTTATTTAACTTTTTGAACTACTGGTAAGAAGTCAGGAGGGTGAGGTGCCTCCTTAGCGCAGTAGGCAGCGCGTCAGTCTCATAATCTGAAAGAAGTCAGGAGGGTGTATCTCATTGATTTCCTTCCTGTCCCAGGAAGCCATATTACAGTTTTCTGAAAGAACTTCTGTGTCTTTTTCAGTAACTTTAAGGAAATTGTTTTTGTTTTAAAACTTGTACTTTCTCTGTTAAAAAAAAAATGCAGATGTAGATGTATTGTTGAAATCTGACATTGAATCACCACGTAACAAGTGTTTAGAACAATTCTAGATGCCTGTCTCTGTTTCACAGACTACCCTGCAGGTTCCTCTTCTCTGTCCTTTAAATACTGGGTTTGCTCAGGTTCCACAGTTGGTCTTCATCTCTTGTTAGGTGATACACTTTTCTTGGGTGATTTCATCTATTGCCCTAATAGAAGTGTCTCCAAAATTTAAAAATTCCTTATCTTTTGAGTTCCAGTCTTGGGTGGCCAAATGGTTACTGGACATATCCACTAAGCTGTATTAGACTGCACATTTAACATGTCCTAAATAGCACATCTCTTTTAAGTCTTTGTGTCCCTCTGATTGTTCTTGCTCTCTTGCTGAATGGTATTGCCATCCCCAGATAACTCATTTCTAAAATATTAGAATTATCCTTGGCTCAGCCCTCTTCCTTTACCTTCTGCATCTGTCAGATCCACCTCAAGTGTTTTTCTTAAATCCTAAATATTTTTCTTTGAAATCGGGCTAACCTCTTCCTTTGTTGGGAGAGAGACTCCCCACCTCCAAGTATATAATTGGTGAAATAAGGTCAGACCCCCTCCCTGGCCTCATATTAACCAAGCTCCTGAGTCTGAAAGGTAAAATTGGAAAGCCTGTGTTTTATGTACAGCATGTACCATTGTGCTGTCTCCTTATAGGCGGACATCTCAGGCAGCTCATACCATAACTAGAAGGTTATCTGAGAAGGAATCAGAACAAAAAGAGATGAATTAAATGTTTAATGGCTTGTCATAATCTGATGATGCCATCATCTCGTAATGGAGAGATCCCTCGTGACCAGAAAGCTGTTTTATGAGCAAAGGCTCCTTGTCCCCCGTTCAGTTTCTTCAGTGGCCCCTGCCAACCTTTTTCTCTAACTTTTCCTTCAGTGCTTGCAGGGCTGACCCTTTCTGTTGCTACCTTTTTCTTTACATATATAAATACATTCAGTTTGGCTTCTTCAGATGGCTTGCACACTTTTCTTCTTGGTTATTATGTGCTGATAGTTGAGCTTTGGGGGGGTCATCTTCGTGTATTTTATTAGAGATAGGTAGAGCACGAGCAGGGGGGAGGGGGGAGGGAGAAGCGCCACAGGATGCAGGGCTCAATCCCAGGATCCCCCATCATGACCTGAGCCAAAGGCAGCCGCACAACCCAACTGAGCTGCGCCAGGTGCCCCCCTCTGGGTAACTCTTATCATAACACTCACTGATAATTGCTTGTCATTTTCCCACTAGAACTTGAGCTGAGGGTGGGTACTCTCTTATTTCCAGATCCCACTGTCTAATGGAGTGCCTGGCACCCATTCACACTATTAATTTTATTTCTTCACATTATTCATGTAGCAGTATTTGTTGAGCACTCATTGTAATCCAGGCAAAGAACAAGTCAGATAAGGTTCCTGTGCTCTTGGAACTTGAATTTTGCTGGAGGTGAAGGAGGATGTAAAGACAAAATAGTACTTCTGGTGAGACCTACGTAGAAAGAAACGGATGTAGGTAGAGAATAACTGGGGGTCAGTTGGGGTGTGTGCTTTAGGTGATCAGAAAGGTATCTGAGGAAGTGACATTTGAGACACACCGTAAAGGATAAGAGGAATCAAGCTCTGTAGAACAGGGAAGTCAGGGCTAGCCAGAAGAAGTAGCCCATTGCAAAGTCCCTGAGGAGGCTGAGAGCTGCTTGTGTTTCAGGAAATGAAAGACCAGCGTGGCTGGAAAGGCAGAGAGGAAGAACATGGTATGAATCTGTCTTTGTAATAGTAACTTGTCTCCCTGGCTGATGTGAGGGTTAAGAGTTAGTCAAAAGGCTTAGAACAGTACTCATCCCATTTGAGTGCTAACGGGGGGTAGCTGTTAATATTTGTGACTAAAAAGGGTAAGTAGCAATTTAAAAAATTGGAAAGGGACTTCACCAGCATAGAAGTTGGGCAGAATGCCATTTTGGGAACAAGTCATAGGTTAATAATCCCCTCGTTAGTAATTGCTAACATCAATATAATAAGGATCTAAGCAGGGGTGCCTGGGTGGCTCAGTCGGTTAAGCATCCAACTCCTGATTTTGGTTTGGTTCATGATCTCAGGGTTGTGGAATTGAGCTGCGCGTCGGGCTCCACGCTGGGTGTGGAGCTTGCTTGGGATTCTCTCTGTCCCTCTTCCTCTGCACCCCCCCCTTTAAAAAAAAAAATCTAAGCATATTAAAGGTAAAAAGTCACTCATATACATAACTCTTAACAATTTAAGAGATGTAATTTCAGTTTTGTATGTTAGTAACCAAGGCAGATTAGAATGATAGATGTAACCTGTTAAAGCTGCAGATGCGGTTTTTGGAGTATTAATAATAGCGAATACTCGGCCTTTCCTTAATCTTCTATTTACTGTACTGCTCCTTTATATTGAGAAAAACAAAGGCACACAGAGGTTCCATTGACCTGCCCAAGACCATATGGCAAGTAAATGATCAAGCTGAGATTCACATTAATGAGTCCGTCCACTCCTCTAACCACTAGAATTCTGAACTCATTTTCTTGTAAACTCTGTGTTCTTGGAAAACTCCCTTCTTTTGAGGTAGGGAAACTTTGAAACCAGGTGATTTTGTGAAACCGAGTGGCAGAGAGGAGGCTGGGCACTACCGTTGGTGTCCTGTCAGTCTCCAACCTGTGACTGCAGTCTGAGATTTCATCATCTCGAGAGTGGAGATGTTGAATATTTTCTGTTTGTTTTAAAGTGATGTTAGTGGATCCTTTTTAACAAAAAAAATTCTTAATTACTCTCGGGCACATTGCAGCCAGGGATCAATCCCTTTCTGGCTTCCTTCTGCTAGCATATTCGTGAGTCCCCTTCTTTGCCATCCAGCCAGCATATACTTAAGGAGTGGATTGCATGCTACCTGATCAAGCCAAAGGATGAGAAAGGTAAATTTTTGAGGGAAAACATTCAAATACAAATACTCGTCTTGATGTGTTTAAACATGTTGAGACAGTTCTATCCGAGTTGAGGGACAGATTAATGATAGATACATTGGTTTCTTGTTTGCTTAGTTTAAGGCAGTGATTATTTCCTTGGGGGAAAAATACTGAAAAGAAAAAACTTGGTCATATAGTATATGTCTGTATGTCTCAGCAGTGAGTAATATTTACATGGTCATTAGGAATATAATCTCTGAATATCAATTTGATCAACACTGGTGCAAAACCTATGTTCCATGGATAGGGAGAGGGAATGTGGGGGTAAAGTGAAAATCCTGATATTCCATAATGAGAAAGTCAGTTGATAATATTTGTAACTAGAAAATATATAAATAGATAATGGAAAGTAAGTACCTTTTTCTATGTTTGAATTATTTCCTACAAGATCTCTTGTTTTAAGTACTCAAGAGTAAACTATGGCTTTTAGTAAATTGGAGACTAACATTTCTTAAAATGTTAAATATCTGTTATTGAGATATTTTGTGTAAATCTGTGTAAATCTTTTGTGAGTATTCATTATTTTGTATGCTTTAATAGCAAAGGTAGTTTGGTATAAGGAGCTATTTAAAATATCAGGTCTACCCAAGAAATAAGAAATTAACCTCACATCCTCTTCGGGGCAGAGATACAGAAGTTTACATATTTAGAGAGGTAGGTAAAATACAAGTCTTGTCATTTAATTAAATGATGCCATGTCAGACTAAACTCTTGCTTTTTTTCACCGTTTTCTGCCCAGGTTCTGGAGTTAACCTATCTTATAGGTTACGTGAGATTTAATTGGCTAGTCTTGTCTTTAAATAGCTAACGAAAGGTGCTTCATATCTTCGGGATTTTTTGTTAATGAATCCCGAAGGGTCACCTTCACATGCAGGTGCTGTGTTAGAGAGGGAAGAGGAAGGTCAGTAGAGTGGATTCTTTTCCCTTGGGGGACCCAGCCAGGGCTGCAGTTGAATTGGTGAACAGCAATTTGAGATGCAGATGGCAATTGCAGTGGTGTTTAAAGATGAACTTTGTTTCACTGTAAAAGCTTTAATACCAGTATTGGTGAGGGTGTGAGGAAAACACGTTGGCTCATGTAATGGTGGTTAGAAAGTAACTGGATGCAATCTTTTTGAAGGACATTTATCAGAATATATCCCTTTGACCCAGAAGTTCCACTTCTAGAAATTGAAAACATAAACTTGAAAAAGTATAGCAATAGGGATGTGCTGGAGTGTTCATTGTGACATTGCAATTAGCCAAAAAAAACTGACAATGAACTACCAGTTCACTAATGGCTGCTTAAGTTATGGTTCTTTGATATTGTGCAAGCATTAAGTGGCGTGGGGGAGGGGCGCGCTTAGCTCTGTATGTACTGATAAAGATGTTCTCCATGTGTTACTTGAAGAAAGGTGTTTACAGAACACTTTACACTTGTGTGTATGTGACGATGTGAATGTGTGTATGTATAAACATTTCTATATAAAATAAACTGGTGGTATCTGGGCAGTGAGACTAGAGGGGTAGGGGATGGGAAGGCCGCTTTAGGCCCCACTCACATTTTAAAAGACAATTTAGGAAAAAAGCCTAAAACTCCGTACTTCACCAGTGGAGGTTATTTAGTTGTATCGAAAGGTGTTCTCAGAACAGCACTCTGCCCTTTGGTGGTGGCACCAGCCAACTGTTTGTCTCACTTAGTGGCATCTGAACCTATCAGTCCTACTTGACCCCGTGGTACAAACATGAGAGAAGGAAACCTAATAGTTTTGTCACCTTTTCAATGCCAAATTTTCTTACTATATATACACCCACTGTTGTGTGTGTCTAGGTTTGTTTTCTCTTGTTTTGCTAAAAAAAAAAAAACAAAACAAAACAAAAACAACTTTTTTTTCCCTCCACATTGTTTAATTATTCAGGAAGCACTCCTTGTGAGAAACTTGATTTTTAATTTCCTTCCTGTACCTCATAACAATATTGCCTTTATTTCTTACTGTTTGTGTACTTAAACCTCAGACGTTTTACTTTAAACTATTAGGCTAGCTAGCTTCCCTATCACTATTTATCACTTGCCATACTTCTTTTGTTTTTTAAGATTTCATTTATTTAATTGATGGAGAGAGACAGCAAGAGAGGGAACACAAGCAGGGGGAGTGGGAGAGGGAGAAGCAGGCTTCCCGCTGAGCAGGGAGCCCAATGCGGGGCTCGATCCCAGGACCCTGGGATCATGACCTGAGCTGAAGGCAGTCGCTTAATGACTGAGCCACCCAGGCACCCCTCATTTGCATACTTCTTAATTGTACCTGACAACCCGTTTCTTACTGCATGTTAATCATTTCTGTGGGTCTTGACCGATCAGTCTTGCTAGCATGGCAAGAAAGCGTCCTCTCTCAGTGCTGTCACCTGTTACTTTGATGCTTAAAACAGCTCTGGCCACGCTTGCTATATCACATTGCACGCCTAGTGTGCCGTCCCTTTTTCACCTCCCAGCTCTTGGCTTTCAAGGGTTTTCTGCTTATCTAATCATTCTGGGGTTATTTTCTTATGGTAGGGTGTTTTCTTTAAAAGCACTTTTTCCATTTTAATATTTCATTTCTTTTGCTTATTTTCACTATGGACTCTTGAAAAAGGCAAGCAACATTCCAGTTTCTCTTGAAAGTTGTCATCCAAGTTCTTTCATCCTAATTACTCATGAAGATGATAAAGATAGCTTATAATAGCTACTTGAACGTATCAAGGGTATTTGCCTACTAACTACCCTTATATAAAGTTTTTAGCAGAATTTCAATCAAAAAGACATGCTATTTTCCATATTACATTATATTTACATTTTAATCCCCCCTCTTTTTTTTTTTTTTTTTTAACATTTTTAAGGCCTTTATTAAACTTCCAACATGGGGAGCCTGGGTGGCTTAGTCGGTTAAGCATGTGTCTTCAGCTCAGGTCATGATCCCAGGATCCTGGGCTCCATCCTGGGGTCGATCCCCGCATCGGGCTCCCTGCTCAGCAGAGAGCCTGCTTCTCCCTCTCACTCTGCTGCTCCCCCTGCTTATGCTCGTTCTCTCTGTCAAATAAGTAA